ATATATTTCTGAAAACCCTTTAAAAAATTGCCAGCAACATTTTTGTTCTCTTTAGAATATATTCTTCTGTGACAAAGCATTCTCTTTGGCTGATGGTAAGAATCTAATTTTTCAATTGCTTAATAAATTCTTATAGTTTACTTTTAGGCTTCTAATTATACGCCACTGAATTTATAGCTTAGTCAGCATGAAGTGTCTTGATTAGTTGATTGCGTTTTCTGTCTGGGCGATTCCGAGATAAGCATAGACAATGGTCGAGGCTGATAAAAATAAAACAGTTAATTTTTTCTAACAAACTACGTAATATGTATTCTTGACAGTGGGAAATGCTAGTTTGAATTGACATGGATCGAAATGTGTATACCCTCCTCGAGGGAGAAATTAACAAGTAAAAAAGCTGTAAAAAGCTGTTGAATACCCTCCACCATTTGGAACGAATTTGGCAATTCTCAAAAATAATAAAATCCGTAAAAAATTCTGTTAAAATCGGGATGTACCGTTTTATAGGGGCTATACGAAGACGTTGACCTGCACAGACAATTTTCTGGCTTAGGCTGTAGCATCCACTACGAACCAAATTTGAAACAATTCCGGTGAATAATGTAGCTAAAATCATCAAAAAAACCGAATATCGGGGGGTACCGTTATATGGGGGCTATACGAAGACGTGAACCTGCACAGACAATTTCCCGGTATAGGTTGTAGTATCCATTACGAACTTCAAATACCAAATTTGACACAATTCCGGTGAATATTGTCGCTAAAATCATCAAAATACCGAATATCGGAGGGTACCATTTATGGGGGCTATACGAAGACGTAGACCTGCACAGACAATTTTCTGTTATAGGCTGTAGTATCCATTAAGAACTTCAAATATCAAATTTGAAACAATTCCGGTGAATATTGTCGCAAAAATCATCAAAATACCGAATTTCGGGAGGTACCGTTATATGGGGGCTATACCAAGACGTGGACATACTGGACCCACGTTCAATACCAAAAGTCCTGCAGACATAATATATATTTGAGTAAAATTTTATCAATCTACTTCAATTCGTTCGGAAGCTAAAGTGATTTCCACAGACGGACATCGCTAAATCGACATAGAATTTTATGCTGATCAAGAATATATGTACTTTGTGGGGTCTAAAATGTATATTTCGAGGTATTACAAACTAAATGACAAACTTAATATACCCTCCATGCTATGGTGGAGGGTATAAAAATTGGACTAAATACTAAAATATGGACGTCTTACCTTTTAGAGGTCTTCAATAACTTAAGGATAGGCAAGAGACCAATTAACAAAACTTTCATAAAAAGCAGACTTTTATATGGTCGTCTATAGACAGATACCTTACAGAGGACTTCCATAGACATATGCCATTAAGGAGGGCCTTTGGCAGGTCTTCTGTGGATAAATGTCAATTTTGGAACTTATCGATGAATTTAATCCCTTATGGAGGTTTTTTATTTATTGAATCCCTTCAAGTGGTCTTCCATGGACAGAGGCCACCGAAAAGATCTTTTACGAATGAAAACCCATTGGAGAGGTCGCCATAGCCTTCCATCGATAGAAGTCCTTGTAGAGGGCTAATAATATATGCCCTTTGTTGGGTCTTCTTCTTTGGATGGAAGCCTTTTCGGTGGTGATTTCATATGAATACAAATAGGAATCCTTTAGAAGGATATCTCTTCTAAAACAAAGATAAACACTTTAAGAGGACTTCCCACAAAGTTTTTCAATCGCTTAGCTACCTTTAATTAATAGAAGAAGACTCTTTTGTATAGCTTGACCCTATATGGGTGAAAAAACTTGAGGATTTCTCCGATGAATAGGGGTCCTTTAGAAAGTGTTCCATGGGTAAAAATCCTTTAGAATATTTTCTGTGGATAAAGGCCTTTTTTGATAGTTTTCTTTTACAGAAACCCTTCTAAAGGTCTTCTATGGATTGAGGTTACATCTGAGGATTTCTACGAATGGAAGAACTTTAGGTTGTTATTCATGGACAGAATCATTTTTGTCGTTCTTCATTCAGTTTAAATGTATTAGTCGGTTTTACCGACAGATTTATACCCTCAGCAATGTGCGATTGTTTAAATATATTTTGATTTTTTTCATGATTATTCAAATTTTTGACCCTGTATAGGATAGGTTCCGAAGGAATGTGCTAATAATAAAAATATTGAGATGTGCCAAGTCTGAGTGGAATCGAATGTTTATTTGGCGTTTTATGGATTTCATAGATATTCAAAATTTGACCATTTGTAGAGAAGGTACTAGAAGGAGTATTTCATCTTCACAGCAGATCTTATGTTAGTAGAAATAATGCGAATAATGAATATAAAGAGAACCGGATGTTTTATTCGGATTTTATGCTAGTTTTGGTTATTGATAACCTTGACCCTTTTGTGTGTGGGAGGTTCGATCTCTAGCATCATTATAACAGATGTTGTGTTGATGGTAGTATTGAGATATATCACGTCTGAATGGAAACGGATTGTAATTTCGCCTTTGATGAGTTTCATGGATATTCAAAATGTTGTACCTTTGTGTGGGTGGTACCAGAAGGAATGGTCTGATCTCTACCATCTTTATAACACATCTTGTGTTGATGGAAAAATTGAGTCTGAATGGAATCGGATGTTAATTTCGGGGTTTATGACCTTCATTTGATCCTTTGTGGGGGTGGGGTACCAGAAGGAGTAGTCCTTTTAATCTGTTCTTAATACTAGACCTTGTGCTAGTGCAAATATTGAAATGTGCGAAATTTAATGATAATCGGACTCTTAGTTTAAATTTTATAAAAGTTATAATTATTCAAATTTTTGACCCTTTGTGGCGGAGGTACCAGAAGGAGTAGTCCGATATATATACGATCTTCACACCACATAACTATAAGTATTGGGATGTATGAAATTTGAAAAGAATCGGATGTTAATTTTGCGTTTTACGAGCTTCATGAATGTTCAAAATTTTGACCCTTTGTGGGGGAGGTACAAGAAGGAGTGTATTGATTTTTTCCATCTTTACACCTTGGATTAATAAAAATATTCTGATGTGTGTAATTTGGGTGCAATCGGATTCTTATATCACATTTTATAATAATTATAATTATTCAAAATATTGACCCTTTGTGGGGGAGGTACTCCATGGAGTAAACCTGGTGAAAATATTAAATTAAATATTAAAATCTGGCTATCCTTTCTCTTTTTGTGCGGTGTTATATTTTTATACCCTCCACCATACTATGGAGGGTATATTAACTTTGTCATTCCGTTTGTAACTCCTCGAAATACTCATATTAGACCCAACAAAGTATATACCTTCTTGATCAGTCGATTCTAAGTCGATTTAGCGATGTCCGTCTGTCTGTCTGTCTGTCTGTCTGTTGTAATCACGCTATCTTTCGAATGAATTGAGATAGGTGGCTAAAATTTTGCACACATGTTTATTTTTCCAGTAGGCAGGTTATGTTCGTAAATGGGCCATGTAGGTCCACGTTTTCATATAGCCCCCATACAACGGTACCTCCCTATATTCGGTATTTTGATGATTTTAGCGACATTATTCACGGGAATTGTTTCAAATTTGGTATTTGAAGTTCAAAATGGATACTACACCCTAAGACAGAAAATTGTCCGTGCAGGTTCACGTCTTAATATAGCCCCCAAATAACGGTACTTCCCTATATTCGGTATTTTGATGATTTTAGCGACATTATACACCGGAATTGTTTTAAAATTGGTATTTGAAGTTCGTTATGGGAACTACAGTCTGTGACAGAAAATTTTCGGTGCGGGTCCAGGTCTTCGTATAGGCCCCATATATCAGTACCTCCCTATATTCGGTATTTTGACGATTTTAGGTACAATACCCACCGAAATTGTTTGAGATGTGGTATTTGAAGTCCGTAATAGATGCTACAGCCTGTGACAGAAAATTGTCTATGCTGGTCCAGGTCTTCGCACAGCTCCAATTTAACGGCACCTCCTTATGTACGATATTTTGATGATTTTAGCTACATTATTCACCGTTTATTTCAAGTTTCGAATTTGAATATGGTAATGGCTTATGACAAACAATGCCTACAGTCCACGTCGTATAGACCCCAAAATAACGGTTATATTCGGTATTTTTAAAATTTTAACAGAATTTTTTAAGGATTTTATTTTTTGAAATTTTCCAAATTCGTTGCAAATGGTGGAGGGTATTAAAAGTTCGGCCCGGCCGAACTTACTGCTTTTTAACTTGTTTTTTTTTTTATTTTGAAAATTTGATCTTTTGTGGGGGGGAAATACCAGAAGAGTGGACCGATTTTGCCCATCTCCGATCTCAGTCTAAATTTGATAATAATATTACGATGCACCAAGTTTGGATCAAATCGGATACTCTCTTCGAGAATTATAGAGCGTACCATACCGACAGACAGACAGACAGACAGATGAACCTCCGTCCATGGACATGGCTAGATCGGCTACAAATGTCCTCAAACAGATTTGGTCCAAAGAGACCTAGGATCTACAACATTTATTTGGATGAGGCCGTATTAAATAAAATATATACTCTCTAGCTATATGGCTGAGGATATAGAAACCCCTTTGAGAGGTCCTCATCTTTAGGATTTGGGGTATTACTACGGGTCTGAAGATTTCTTCAATTTCACATGACATTGCAGAACGAGGAAAAACTGTGTGGAAATGAAGCAAAACGTGCATGACGCCCCCAATCGAATCTGCCTCCGAAAAGTTGCAAGTCATAGGTTGATATAAACAATGATTTGCGATTTCAAAACGAATTCCCTTAACTTGTAGCACATTCAATGAAATGTTTAATAGGCACCTTATCTCTGCGATACCTTCGAAAACTATATTTAAGCTAGGCGAATCAAAGGTTATTGTAGGCCGTTAGACAGCAGTTGTGGCAAGATAAGACTAACACCGGAAATTTATAGTCTAAATGCGCGAGACATGCTAACTGACGAATTTAGTTGTCGCGATCCACTCGAGGCGGTAACAAATAAGTGATATTGGAAGAAGAAAAAAAAAAATAGATATTTTTGTAAATTATGTTATTTGAATTCCTGGTGGGTCTCTTGACCCTTCTGCTCGTTGTCGACACGCTGTACAAGAGACGGCGTCATGTTATGATTGCAAAGGCTGGGATACGGGGACCCACACCGCTGCCGCTATTTGGAAACATGTTGCATTTTGTGGGCAATACAACGGCCAGTAAGAAATGTCCAACAAAAAAAAAAAAAGTGAAAAGTTCTCAATCCCTTAATATCCCATGATTTAGATGCCTATGACCTTTTCGACAAATTGACGGCCAAATATGGCAAAGTGGTGCGCATGTGGATGGGTAATCATTGTGTGTTGTTTGTGCGCGATGCCAAATTCTTCGAGGACATCTTCAAAAGTCAACAGCTGATCACCAAAAATAATCTCTATGATTTGCTAAGTGGTTGGCTGGGCCAGGGTCTGTTGTTGAGCACCGGACCAAAATGGTTTTCGCGACGTAAGATAATCACTCCAACCTTTCATTTTAAAATTCTGGAAGAATTTGTGGAGATCTTCGATCAGCAGAGTCATATAATGGTCAAGAGTTTATTAGAGAAGGCCGATGGCAAAACTGTCGTGCATATGTTTCCCAAAGTTTGTCTCATGGCCTTGGATATTATAACGGAGACGGCAATGGGCGTGAAAGTCCATGCCCAGGAACATCCAGAATTTCCCTATGCCAAGGCAGTGACGGAGTAAGTTTTTTTTTTTTGAAAAAAAATCAAGTTAAAAAGTAGTAAGTTCGGCTGGGCCGAACTTTTAATACCCTCCACAATTTACAACGAATTTGGAAATTTTCAAAAAATAAAATCCTTAAAAAATTCTGCTAAAATTTTAAAAATACCGAATATAACCGTTATTTTGGGGTCTATACGACGTGGACATACATAGTCATTGTTTGTCATAAGCCATTACCATATTCAAATTCCAAACTTGAAATAAACGGTGAATAATATAGCTAAAATCATCAAAATATCGTATATAAGAGGGTGCCGTTAAATTGGAGCTGTGCGAAGACCTGGACCAGCATAGACAATTTTCTGTCACAGACTGTAGTTCCCATAACGAACTTCAAATACCAATTTTGAAACAATTCCGGTGAATAATGTCGCTAAAATCCTCAAAATACCGAGTATCGGGAGGTACCGTTATATGGGGGCTATACGACGACGTGGACCTGCACAGACAATTTTCTGTATTAGGCAGTAGTATCCATTACGAACTTCAAATACCAAATTTGAAACAATTCCGGTGAATAATGTCGCTAAAATCATCAAAATACCGAATATAGGGTGGTACCGTTATATGGGGGCTATATGAAAACGTAGACCTACATGGCCCATTTACGAACATAACCTGCCTACTGGAAAAATAAACATGTGTGCAAAATTTTAGCCATCTATCTCAATTCATTCGAAAGATAACGTGATTACAACAGACAGATGGACAGACGGACAGACAGACAGACGGACAGGCAGACGGACATCGCTAAATCGACTTAGAATTTTACGCTAATCAAGAATATACATACTTTGTTGGGTCTGACATGAGTATTTCGAGGAGTTACAAACGGAATGACAAAGTTAATATACCCTCTATAGTATGGTGGAGGGTATAAAAAATGGATTAAACGACGGTTATGTTATGAGAACCCTATGTAATCATTATGTAATGCTCAAAGTTTTGCATGCCGTGAAGTGAAAAACCACATTTCATTTGGAAAAGTTCATATTTTGACTGGGACTGTTTGTTTTTTATACCCTCAGCCATATGGCTACAGAAGGTACAAATCATTTGATATGGCCAAAACTTGCCTTATCGAAAAAATGGTTTTAGTCCCTAGGTTCCATTGGATCAAATCCATTTTAGGAAATTTGGAGTCGATATAGAGGTGTCTGTCTGTCCGTCCGTCTGTCTGCTGGCTGGTGTGCACGATAACTTTCGAAAGGAGAATCCGATTTGGTCAAAACTTGGTACATCGTAATATTTTTGCCAAACTTAGATCGAGTTCGGAGTTGGGCAATATCTGTCCACTCCTTCTGGTACCTCCCCCACAAAAGGTCAATGTTTTCATAGAAAATAATTTACCTCATATCTCAATCCCAAAATTTTTGTCAGTGCTAACTCAGGTGCTAAAATGGACAATATCAGCCAAGTATATCAAGTAACTCCCCAACAGACGGTCAAAATTTGGACAAATTATAAATCTATTAAAATCTGAAACAGGAGTCCCATTGTTTCCAGTTTCGCACGTACCAATTTTTTTTTTTATTTTTTTTATTTTATAATTACAAGATCTGGTGGTAATATAGGATATATCGGTCCACTTCTTCTGGTAAACTCCCCCCCCCCCCCAACCGATCAACATTTGGAATATCCATGCTACTCGTTAAAGGCGAAATTAGCATCCGATTATTTTCAAACATGGCACATATCAATATTTCTACTAAAACAAAATCTGCTGTGAAGATGGGATATATCGGCCCACTCCTTGTGGCACCTCCCCCACAAAGGCTCAGAATTTGGAATAGCCATGAAGCTTGTAAAACGCGAAATAAGCATTTGATTCTCTTCAAATTTCTAACATGTCAATATTTCGACTAACACAAGATCTACTGTGAAGATGGAATATATCGGCACCACTACACCTGGTACCTCCCCCACAATGGGTCAAAATTTTTTATAACCATTAAGCTCATAAAACGTGAAATTAACATCCGACTCCATTCAGACTTGGTAAATTTCAATATTTCCATCAACACAAGATTTGTCTTAAAGATGAACCGATATATGGGGCCTATACGAAGATGTGGACCGCCATGCCTGCCTGCTGACAAATAACGCACGTGTGCAAAATTTTAGCCTTCTATCTCAACTAGTTCGAAAGATAGCGTGATTACAACAGACAGATGGTCATCGTTAAATCGACTTAGAATTTTACACTGATCCAGAACATATATACTGGGGTCTATCATGGGTATTTCGAGGAGTTACAAACGGAATAAAAAGGGGTAATATACCCTCCATAGAATGGTAGCGGTACCATCTCCATATATAAAACGTTTTTTTATTACATATGCCTAACTATTTTTATTCCCACTTTTAGTACCTCCAACATTATGTCGGATCGTTTTGTGAAACCTTTCGATCGTTTCGATGGCTATTTCCGGATGTTCCACAATCAAAAATATCACCAGCTGCAAAATAATATCAAAATTATGCACGACTTTACGGATAAGGTCATCAACGAACGACGTGAGGCCTTGCAAAAGTCCATTGACAGTGGAACCTATCAGGCTGGCAGTAGCGTGGATGAAATGGGCATTAAGAAGCGAATGGCTTTCCTTGATGTGCTGTTGCAATCGACGGTGGGTGGAAAACCCTTGACGAATAAGGATATTCGTGAAGAGGTGGATACTTTTATGTTCGAAGGACATGACACCACGACAAGTGGCATTTGCTTTACTCTCTATCTGCTGTCGCGGCATCCTGGCGTACAGCAAAAGGTACTCGAGGAGATTCACAGCGTTATTGGTGAGGATAGAAATAAACCGGTGACCATGAAAGATTTGCAGGAGCTTAAATATTTGGATTGTGTTATCAAGGAAAGTCAGCGTTTGTATCCATCGGTGCCAACGATTGGACGTGTTACCGAACAGGATGTTGTTATAAGTAGGTATCTCTAGGCATTTTTTTCTATAAAAATTATATTAAATATGTTTTGATACATTTCAGATGGTGTCACCATACCGGCCAACACCAACATCACCCTGCTCATGTACGCCGCCATGAAGGATCCCGATTATTTCCCCAAGCCAGAAGAATTTTTACCCGAACGTTTCATGAACACCGAGGATAAAATAAATCCCTTTGCCTATGTCCCGTTCAGTGCTGGACCCCGTAACTGCATAGGACAGAAATTTGCCATGGCTGAAATGAAAAGTACCGTCAGTAAAATGGTACGCCATTTTGAGTTGCTCCCCCTGGGTGAGGAGGTGAAACCTGTCATGAATATGGTATCACGTTCCGAGACTGATGCCCAATTGGGTTTGAGAGTTCGCAATTAATTGATTTTTTTTGTTATAGTTTGTTTTGTTAAGAAAATAAAATAGGATTTTTGTTATCAAAGATGAATGCTATACATGTGTACAGGGTGAGATAAAAAAACTACAACCAAGCCATAATTTTTACATTTTTTTTTTAAATTTTATTAAATGAAAGCAAAAAATGTCGGAAATAGCATCAAATTTTAGAATAAGTTTAGATTTTTTCGAATCTAATATGGCCTTCAAACGGCCAATCAAATCGTCACACGCTGTCTGAATGTTGCTCTGCGGTATTTTGGCCCATTCCAGGCCAAGCGCTTGCTGGAGGTGATCGACACTTTGGAATTTTTTAGTACCAACCTTGCTTTCCAAAATACTCCAGACACAATAGTCCAACGGATTGATATCCGGAGATTTTGAAGAGATTTGGAAATGAATCCCATATTCACATCAGATCTTGTGTTGATAGAAATATTAGGGTGTGCCAAGTTTGAAGTTTTGTTGACTCAGAAGCTAACTTTGCATTTTATGATGGTGATAAGTATTCAAAATTCTGATCAAAGATTTTTTTTTTCGAAATTTTGACCCTTTGTTGGGGGGAGGGGTTGGTGGTACCAGATGTATCCGATCTCTCTCATCTTCATACAACATTTTGGGTTAGTATAAGTATTAGATTATGTGAAGTTTAGAATGAATCCGATGCTCGTTTCGCATTTAATAAGAATTTTGGTTATTCAAAATTTTAACCCGTTGTATGGGAGGTACCGGATGGCGGGGACCCACATATCTCATATTCACACCACATCTTGGTTCAGCTTAAATAATTAAATTGTGTCGAATTTAGAATGAATCCGATGCTTACTTCGCATTTTATGAGAGATAGAATTACTTAAAATGTTGGCCCGTTGTGCTGGAGGTGCCGGATGTAGTGGACCGATTTATCCCATCTTCACACTAAACTTTTTGTTAATAAAAATATTAGGATGTGTGAAATTTGAAGAGAATCGGTTGCTTATTTCGTAATTTATAAGAGTTATTATTATTATTAAAAATTCCGACCCTTTGTAGTGAAGGTACTTGATGGAGTGGGCCGACATTGTCCTTTCTTGCATCTGGCATAGCACTGGTACGAATATTGGAACTTCCAACTTTTAACACAAGTGAATGATACTTTCGTGTTTTATGCGGTAAATTATTTTCGATGAAAATTTTCCTTTGAGGGGGAGGTACCAGAAGTCGTGGTCCGATATATCCCATCTTCACACCTGATATTGTGTTGATAGAAATATTGGGATGTGCCGAGTGTAAAAATAATCGGATACCCGTTTGGAAATTTATGAGCTTCATGGTTATTCAAAGTTAGGACCCGTTGGACCCATAAGCAATGGATCGTTATCTACCAACTTCGTACTAGATCTTGTGTTAGTAAAATCATTGGGATGTGTCAATTTCGAAGACAATCAAACTCTTATTTCACATTTTATGAGAGTTATAATTACTCCAAATATTTACCCCTTTGTGGGTGAGGTACTTGATGTAGTGGTCCGATATTGTCCATTTTCGAATCTGACCTAGAACAGACAAAAATAGTAGGATTTGCTAAATTTGCACAAAATCTAATGACTCTCTTTCTTTGAATTAAACTATTTTCTTTGCGAATTATAATCCTTTGTGAGGGAGGTACCAGCGGGAATGGTTAGATGTCGTCCATCTCCGAACTCGATTTTAGTTTGACAATAATATTACGACGTATCAAGTTTGGATTAAATCGCATATACCGAGACAGACGAAAACCTAGAGCGACTACAAAGTCCTGAAACGGATTTCCTCCAAGGAGACCTAGCCTCTTAAATGTTCATTTCGATGTGGCACGAATTGGCCATATCAAGTGATATGCAGGGTGAGATGAAAACACTGCAACCAACTTCAGACTGCTGTCATTTCTAAGCCACTAGTTCCGACAGCTGTTAAAATTATTCCAGTGACAGTTCATTTTGCATTTTGGTGAGAATTTTTCAGAAAAAAACTTATTCGTGATAGAATTCAAGAGTGGTAGTGTGATTTCTTTATATATGGCTGGGAAACCACAAGTGGCTATCGTTAGAGCACTCCAGCATTTAAATGTGAATAGATATTTTGTGTCTCGTACCATCGCTTGTTACCCTATCTTTACGGGTAGCGTAGCCCGACATATGTCAAGGAAGTGGACGGAAGAAAACAGCAACCACAGCAGAAATGGTTCGAAAAGTAGAGAAGCGACTTGATCGAAACCCGCGTCGCAGTGGCCGAAAAATGACTCGTAAGCTGAACATAACGCAATATTTCATTCGGCAAATATTGAAAAATGAGCTCGGGGTAAAGCTATTGAAATTCCAAAAAGTGCAAGACTTTACACCGCAACAAGAAGAAAATAGACTCAAAATAGCTAAAGAGTTGCTTCGCTTTTCCGAAAGTGGTGAACTGCCGAATTTGGTTTTCTCCGAAGAGAAAACATTCGTTGTCTAGCACTTTGTAAACAAATAAAATGATCGTGTTTACTTGCCAAAGAGATCAGCTGAAAATGTGCACCTTCGGTTGGCCACCAGAACTCAAGCGCTGGCCCTGGTGATGGTGTGGGATGCCATAACAGCCGATGGTCGCTTTCCGCTCGTATTAATCGACCTTGGCAGCAGAATAAATGCCGAATATTATTGCGAAAATATTCTGGAGGGTGTATTAAAGACTTGGGCACGCAAACGTTTTGGACGCAGACCTCGGTCATTCCAATAGGACTCAGCACCATCGCACTCAGCACGCGTCACCCAAGAATGGTTGTAAAATGAGGTTCCTCGCTTCATTTTTAGCGCACAGTGGCCACCAAAATCTCTGGACTATTGTGTCTGGAGTATTTTGGAAAGCAAGGTTGGCACTAAAAAATACCAAAGTGTCAATTACCCCAAGCAAGCGCTTCACCGGGAATGGACCAAAATGCCGCAGAACAATATTCGAGCCACGCGTGACGGTTACATTGACCAATTCGAGCAAATCTAAACTTATTCTAAAATTTGATGCTATTTGTCTGGGATGTACCAAGTCTGGAATGGAATCGGATGTTAATTTAGCTTTTTATGAGGGGAGGTACCAGAAGGAGTGGGCCGATGTATCCAATATTCACGCCAGAGCTTGGGTTAATAAAATTATTGGAATGTGTGAAAATTGAAGACAATCGAACTCTTACATCACGTTTTAAAGGAATTGTAATTATTCAAAAATTTGATCCTTGTGGGGGAGGTACCTGATGGAGTGGGCCGATGTTGTCCATTTTTGCGCCTGACCTAGCACCGAAGAAACTATTTGGATTCGCAAAGTTGGAGCCAAATCAAATTATCCCTTCTCTTTCTGTGCAAAAAATATTTTTTAAAAATTTCCACCTTTTGTAGTGTAGGTACCAGAAGGAGTTGACCGATATATTAAATCTTCACGCCAGAGCTTGGGTTTATAAAATCATTGGGATGTGTGAAAATTGAAAACAATCGGACTCTTACATCAGGCTTTATAAGAATTGTAATTATTCTAAATTTTGACCGACACTTTGTGGGGGAGGTACCTGATGAAATGGACCGATATTGTCCATTTTCGCATCCGACCTAGCACTGATGGAAATATTATGATTCGCAAAGTTGGACCAAAATCGGATTATCCTTTCTCTTTCTATGCAATAAATATTTTTTTGAAAATTCTTGTATGCCATATACAAGGACCAAAGTTCAAGAGGACCCCATACCACAATGTCTAGCTTATTTTTGAATAAAAGTTGAAAAGATATGTCATATTTGAAAGCAATCTGTAAAATTTAATAGACCCATATTTTTAATTTTCCAATCATATTTGTAAAATAACTTCTACAAGCCAAATGGAACCAAGTTTCTCCTAAAAATTTGTCCTGAAAATGTCTGGGTAAATTCTATAAATATTTTAACATGACTTTCAAATTATAATAATAAGTTCATTGGAGTTCTTACTAATCGGCATTCTATAGCATTTTACCGATGAGATTGCAATACTTACGATTATCATGTTGTTATTGAGTTTGCCCCAATTAGCTCAGGCATTTGTCACCATGACAAAGCATTTCTTTCAACGGTTATATGTCAGCGTTCCAAAAATTTGTCCTACAATCGTGATAAGCATATTTTTTTTGGAGGTGTTAAAAGAAAAATGTTTTCTGTAGGAAGAAATTTAAAATAAAAAAATTCCAAAAATAATGATTTTTAGAGTTCGTCAGTAGAAAAGAAGTAAAAAAGCAGCTAGGCTCGGCTCGGCTGAACTTTTAATACCCTCCACCATTTGGGAGAAATTTAAAACATTTCAAAATAAATGGGTCGAAAAATACAGCTTAATTGAAAACTTTTAAATGGATGTTATACAAAGACGCGGACCTGTCTACGTAATTTTTCGTAGTACCCAGAACACCTTTAAATATAAATTTTTATACAATTCCGGTGAACAATGTCGCTAAAATCATCAAAATACTGAAAAAAGAAAATAAAAAACATTAAGTTCGGCCGGGCCAAACTTTTAATACCCTCCACCTTAGGGTAAAGGAAACATTAGAAGAAATATGGAGGTATCGTTATATGGGGGCTATACCAAATCGTGGACCTACACATGCAATGTTTCGCCAACGGAGCTAGATCCCATAATGACCTACAAATACCAATTTTCAGACAAATACGTGAAAAAATGTGGCAAAAATCATCAAATTACCGAATATCGGGAGGTACCGTTATATGGGGGCTATACCAAAACGTGAACCTATAAGTACAATGACTCGCCACACGAACTGGGACCCATTATGATCTACAACTACCAATTTTCAGAGAAATTCGTGAAAAAAAATGTGGCAAAAATCATCAAAATACCGAATATCGGGAGGTACCTTTATATGGGGGCTATACCATAACGTGGACCTATACATGCAATGTTTTGCCACACGTACAGGGACCCGTTGTAACCTACAAATACCAATTTTCAGACAAATCTGTTAAAAAATGTGGCATAAATCTTCAAAATACCGAATATCGGGAGGTACCGTTATATGGGGACTATACCAGAACGTGGACCGATATATCTCATTTTCAATACCAACCATTCTAGACACAATAGAAATTGCTCTGCTAAATTTTGGCGCTCTACGTCAAATATGTGGGCTGTATCGTGATTTCAACAGACAGACGGACAAACAGATGGACAACGTTAAACCGACTTAGAATTTTATGCTGATTATGAATATATATACTTTATGGGATCTACGACGAATATTTAAGGATGTTACAAACGGAATGACAAAGTTAATATACCCTCCTTTCCAAGGTGGAGGGTATAAGAAAGGGAGGTACCGTTGTATGGGGACTGTACGAATACGTGGCATGTATACACAATTTTTCGCAATAGGTTATGTAATTAAAGAACTTAGGAGGATACCGAGTTTCTGAGATTTTTTTTTGTATAGAATACTTTTAGATAAAATAAAAACAAATAAAATACCATGAGGAGGCCTACCATGACAGATACCGGTTCTTCTTTAAAATTTTATTAAAATTTTATGAATTTCTGTTTTGCATATAAAAGATCTGATCGTTTATGGACATAGGAAGTCCTGAAAATAGTCATTAACAAATATTAAAATTCTCTGGAAATCCTTATAAAATAGAAATTAAATAAAATTATAAATCCTTGAAAAATACTATGAACCAACAGATTTAGCTGAATGTTGGTCCTTCCAAGACATTCCAAGTTTAAAGCACTGTTGGTTCTTCAAAACAATTATTAAAATATTCTTAAAACATATTATTACAATATTAATTTTTGTCCTTTATTCCTTAAAAATCCACTTTTGATCCTTACAAAAATATTTCCTAAATATAACTTAAAAATCCACCTTTGACCCTTAAAAATCAACGTTTGGTCTTTGAAAAGTATTTCTAAAATAGTTGGCCCTTAAAAATTCTCTTTTAGTCCTTAAAAAAACAATCCTTATAAACCATTTATTGGAACCCCTGTTGGTCCTTCTATAAAAAAATCTTTCAAATCCATTGATGGTCCTTGAAAATAGATCCTTTAAAAATCCACATGTGAAACCTCTGTTAGTCTATGGAAAAATTGTCCTAAAAAATTAAAATATGGAAGCTGTTGCACCTTGAAAAAAAGAATTCTTAAAAAAATCCACTTATGCAAAACAATTTTTTTTCCTTAAAAAATCCTAAAAATCACATTTGGAAGCATTTCTTGGTCTTTAAAAAAAGTATTTTTTCAAAATCCACATTAGGTCCTTGAAAAAATACTCCTCAAAAATATACTTCTTCATAACTCTACTTTTGGTCCTTAAAGAAACATTCTTCAAAATTTCACGTATGGTCCTTAAAATATTTTCCTTAAAAATCCTGGTTTGACGACAAAAATTTTCGTTTGGTGCCCTCCCCCAAGAAATCCTATTTAGTCCTTTAGAAAACATTCCTCAAAAATCCACCCATGGATCCTTAAACGAAATCATATTTTTTAAAAATCCACGTTTCTATCTTTGAAACCCCACATTTGGTCCTCAAAAATCCATGTTTAATCCTTGACAAAATATTCTTCATAACTCCACATTTGCTCCTTAATAAAAACGCAACTTTTGATCCTTGAAAAATATTCCTTAATATACTCGTTTTGGCCTCAAAAGAGTCGTTTGATTCTTGGAAAAAATTGACGTATGGTTCAGGAAAAAATATCCCTTAAAAAATCCAATTTTGTTCCTTGAAAAATTATTGCATAATTTGCAAAATTGACGTATGTTTCAGGAAAAAATATTCCTTAAAAAAATCCAATTTTGGTCCTTGAAAAATTATTGCACAAAAATCTATCATTGGATCCATAAACAAATTATTTTTTAAAAATCCATATTTGTACCTTGAAAAAGAAAAACACATTTAGTCCTTTATTCCTCAAAAATCCATGTTTTAATCCCTGAAAAAATATTCTTCATAACTGTACTTTTGGTCCTTACAAAAATATATCTCAAAAATCCACACATGGTCCTTAAAACGTCACTTTTGATCCTTTTGATAGTTCTTAAAAATCCTCGTTTGGCTCTAAAAATTCCACTTTGGTCCTCGAATCGAAAAAAATAGAAATTCGTTTCTTGAAAAAAAAAAAAATATTCCTCAAAAAAATTCGAAAAATCGGGAACACGTGTGGTCTTTGAAAAGATATTCCTAAAAAATTCACGTTCGGTACTATTGTTGGTTTCCTAAAAATATTCCCAAAAACTTACTGTCTACGTCTACCGTTCATCCCTTAAAAATACTCTGAAAAACCGCGATTGGAACTAAAATTTATACTTTTAGGAAATATTTTAAAAAATCTATTTTTTGGTCCAATGTTGGTCCTTGAAAATATATTCTTAAAATATCTACGTTTATATCCACTGTTCGGGCTTCAAATTTGTTGCAAAATTCAAAAAAAAAAAAAATACTAATCTCAAAACGTTAAAACAAATCTCCGACATTGCATACGCGATTAATAAATTCAATGGTCAGTTATCATAGCCACCATATCGAGCCAATTCGATGAGTATCAAAGGTTAATAGAGAGGGGGAGAGAGAATGCCAAATAGAGCGTGTGGCCAGATAAGGCTAACAATTAAAAAAAAAAATATTTTTTTATAACTTGGCTATTTCAGTTGACGCGGTCTAGTGCGCAAGTGGTGACACGCGTTGGGAATCGGAAAGAATATTGGTGGATTGAAAATATGTGGATTGAATTTGTGGTGGGTCTTTTGACCCTTCTCATCATTGTCGATACGCTCTACAAGAGAAGGCGTCATGTTATGATAGCAAAGGCTGGGATACGTGGACCTACACCATTGCCAATTGTGGGAAATGCCCTACATCTGGTGGGCAATACAACGGCCAGTAAGGAATTACAACTTCTAACAAAGTAGTCTTAAGTCATCAAATGTTTTTCCACACTTTTAGCCGTCTATTCGCTCTTCGAAAACTTGACCAGAAAATATGGCAAAGTGGTGCGCATGTGGATGGGCAACCATTGTGTGTTGTTTGTGCGTGATGCCAAATTTTTCGAAGATGTCCTCAAAAGTCAACAGCTGATTGCCAAGAATAATCTTTACAATTTATTGAATGGTTGGTTGGGTGAGGGTTTACTGCTGAGCACTGGACCCAAATGGTTTTCGCGTCGCAAGATTATCACTCCCACGTTTCATTTTAAAATTCTGGAAGAATTTGTGGAGATCTTCGATCAGCAGAGTCATGTAATGGTCAAGAGTTTAATGGAGAAAGCCGATGGCAAAACTGTGGTCCATATGTTCCCGAAAATCTGCCTCCTGGCCTTGGATATTATAACGGAGACGGCAATGGGTGTCAAAGTTAATGCCCAAGAACATCCGGAATTTGCCTATGCCAAGGCAGTAACAGAGTAAGTTAATATGTGATTTAAAACTGTAGTGGTATTGGTGTGAGAGTGAGAGAGATGTGCATGAAAAGTGAGAGTGTTATGTTGTTAATTTATTTTGCGACAAAAAAAGGTTAATTATATCCTACAACACTATGTGTTGGGGGTATTATAAGTTTGATTGGGCCAAAAATTATGTATGGATCTTTCTATCTCGCCGAGCTGAGTCGATCTAGCTATGTACATATGTCCATCCTTCCGTCTGTCCATGTTAATTTGTAATCATTCTACAGGTCGCAATTATGGCCCGATCTTCACGAAATTTAGAATGGAGGTGGGGCTAGAGCCAGAATAGAACCCTATTTCTTTTGGTGATGATCGCATAATATTTAGGGGTTGAAATGGACCAAAAACTGAAAAATCCTGATTTTGCAGTTGCTCTACAGGTCACAATTATAGACCAATCGAAGCGAAAGTTAGCATGGGGCTGGAGCTTTGGACTGGGCAGAAGAATTCCAGTTTTGATGATCATCGGGTAATATTTAGTGGGTGAAATAGATCATAACATTTGTGTTAAATAAATGTCAAATTTTTCATTAAACCGCGAATATTTCTAATCCCAGCGAAAAAAAAAAAAATTGAGGATCGGACGATAATTGCAATCTGTATATAATAACCCCAACCTGTATTGTAAGATGAAAAAATATTACAAAATATACATTTCAATATTATAAGTCAAATTAAAAAAATCGCATGCGACAAAAAATATGAAAAATGAAAACAAGTAAAAAAACATTAAGTTCGGCCGGGCCAAGCTTTTAATACCTTCCACCTTAGGGTAAAAGAAACATTAGAAGAAATGTGGCAAAAACCATTAAAATGCCGAATATCGGGTGGTACCGTTATATGGGGGCTACACCAAAACGTGGACCTATAATTACAATGTTTCGCTACACAAACTAGGACCCATTAGGACCCACAAATACCAATTTTTAGACAAATCAGTGAAAAAATGTGGCAAAAACCATAAAAATACCGAATATCGGGAGGTACAGTTATATGGGGGCTATACAAAAACATGGACCTTTACATGCAATGTTTCGCCACCGGAGCTGGAACCCATTTTGACCCACAAATACCAATTTTTAGACAAATCCGTGAAAAAATGTGGCAAAAAAAAAAACTAAAATACCGAATATCGGGAGGTACCTTTATATGGGGGCTATACCACAACGTGGACCTATACATGCAATGTTTTGTCACACGCTCAGGGACCCGTTATTACCTACAAATACCAATTTCCAGACAAATGCGTGAAAAAATGTGGCATAAATCATCAAAATACCGAATATCGGGAGGTACCGTTACATGGGGACTATACCAGAACGTGGACCGATATATCTCATTTTCAATACCAACCATTCTAGACCCAATGCAAATAGCTCTGCTAAATTTTGACGCTATATGTCAAATAATGTGGGCTGTATCGTGATTTCAACAGACAGATGGACATCGTTAAATCGACTTAGAATTTTATGCTGATTATGAATATATATACTTTATGGGGTCTAAGACGAATATTTAAGGATGTTACAAACGGAAGGACAAAGTTAATATACCCTCCTTTCCAAGGTGGAGGGTATAAAAAAAATTAGAAAAATTGAAATGAGCATGATGTACCAGATGTAGTTGACCGAAGTACTCTATTTGGTATAAATTCTTGATCAGCGTAAAATTCCAAGTCGATATAGCGTTGTCCGTCTGTCTTTCTTTCTGTCTGTCTGTTGTAATCACGCTATCTTTCGTACGAATTGAGATAGAAGGCTACAGGCTTTTGTACACATGTTTATTTTGCCAGTAGGCAGGTTAAGTTTGTAAATGGGCCATGTAGGTCCACGTTTTCATATAGCCCCCATATAACGGCACCTCCCTATATTCGGCATTTTGGTGACTTTTGCTACATTATTCACCGGAATTGTTTAAAATTTGGTATTTAAAGTTCGAAATGGATACAACAGTCTATGACAGTAAATTGTCTGTGTAACCCCATAAAACGGTACCTCCCGATATTCGGTATATTGATGGTTTTGGCGACATTATTCACCAAAATTGTTTCAAATTTTGTACTTGAAGTTCAAAATGGATACACCAGTCTATGACAGAAAATTGTCTATGCAGGTCCAGGTCTTCGTATAGGCCACATATATCCGTGCCTCCCGATATTCGGTATTTTGACGATTTTAGATACAATATTCCCCGAAATTATTTGACATGTCGTATTTTGAGTTCGGAATGGATGCTATAGCCTGTGACAGAAAATTGTCTATGCAGGTCCAGGTCTTCGTATAGGCCCCTAAATCCGTACCTCCCGATATTCGGTATTTTGACGATTTTAGATACATTGTTCAACGTTTATTTCAAGTTTCAAATTTGAATATGGTAATGGGCTTATGACAACAATGCCTATGTGGGTCCATGTCGTATAGAACCCAATATAACGGCTATATTCCGTATTTTTAAAATTTTAACAGAATTTTTAACGGCCTATATTTTTTGAAAATTTCCAAATTCGTTCCAAATGGTGGAGGGTATTCAAAGTTCGGTCCGGCCGGACTTACTGCTTTTAAATTGATGCTACTTCATCTAATATAGATAAAAATATTGGTATGGGCAAAATGACAGGAAAATCTAAAATTTATATTCATTTTTATTCGAAATCATGAATTCGATATTCATTTCGGGTTTCTGGTTGAGGGAAATATTTAGATACATCAGGTTATAAAGAATCGCTGACTTGTTTCCCAAGTTAAGACACATAAAAATATTTATAATTGTAACCCTTTGTGGATGAGGTACCAGAAGGGGTACCTCATCGTCACAAAAGATCTTGTGTTGGCAAAAATGTTTGTATGTGTGTAATTTGAAGAGATTTGGATATTTATTCCGCTTTACTTCTGCCGATACCTCCCCCTATGTAGGGGAGCTACCAGAAAATATGGTCCGGTCTCTACCGTCTTAATAACAGATCTTGGGTTGATGACAATAATTAAATGTACCAAGTCTGAATGGAATCGGATGTTAATTTCGCGTTTTTTGAGCTTCAGGGATATTCAATAATTCTACCCCTTTTGGGAGAGGTACCAGAAGGAGTTGTCTGATATATTTCATCTTCACACCAGATTATGTGATAATAGAAATATAGTGGTTTGCGAAGTTTGATTAGTTACAGATGTTTAATTCACATATTACAGGGTGAGATGACAAAACTGTAACCAACTTAAGACACTCGTCCGACAGCTGTTAAAATAATTCCAGTGACATCTCATTATATTTTTTACAAGCGTACAAAAGTATTTTGTTGATAATTTTCCAGAAAAAAAGTTATTCGTAACGGAATTCGAGCGTGATAGCGAGATTTATTTATATTTGGCTGGAAAACTACGCGTGGCTATCGTTAGATCACTCCAGCATTTAAATGTGAATAGATCTGTTGTGTCTCGTAACATCCCTCTATACCGTGATACTGGTAGCGTAGCCCGACGTCAAGAAAGTGGACGCAAGAAAACAGCAACATCAGCAGAAATTGTTCGAAATATAAAGAAGCGACTTGATCGAAACCCGCATCGCAATGGCCGAAAAATGGCTCGTGAGCTGAACATATCGCAATATTCCATTCGGCAAATATTGAAGAATGGGTTCGGGGTAAAGCTATTGAAATTTCAAAAAGTGCAAGAACTTATACCGCAACAGAAAGAAAATAAACTCAAAAGAGCTAAAGAGTTGCTTCGCTTGGCCGAAAGTTGTGAACTGTCGAATTTGGTTTTCTCGGATGAGAAAACGTTCGTTGTCCAGCAGTTTGTAAACAACCAAAATGATCATGTTTACTTGCCGAAGAGGTCAGCTGAAAATGTGCACATACGGTTGGCCACCAGAACTCAAGTGCCGGCGTGGACCGACATTACAGCCGATGTTCACTCTCCGCTCGTATTAATCGACCTTGGCATCAGAATAAATGACGAATATTATAGCGAAAATATCCTGGAGGGTGTGTTAAAGCCTTGGGCTCGTAGACCTTAGGCATTCCAACAGGAGTCAGCACGCGCCACCCAAGAATGGTAAGAAAATGAGCTTCCTCGCTTCCGTTTCCTGCGCACAATGCCCACCAAAATCACCGGATACCAATCCGTTGGACTATTGTGTCTGGAGTATTTTGGAAAGCAAGGTTGGCACTAAAAAATACCAAAGTGTCAATCTCCTCAAGCAAGCACTTCGCCGGGAATGGACCAAAATACCGCCAAGCAACATTCGGACAGCGTGTGACGGTTTCATTGGCCATTCGAAGACCATGATTCGTGCCAGAGGTGACCAATTCGAACAAATCTAAACTAATTCTAAAATTTGATGCTATTTCCGACATTTTTTGTTTTAATTCAAAAAAAAAAAAAATAAATAAATAAAACAAGTAAGCAATGGCTACAGTCGAGCGGGGCCGACCGTTGAATACCCTACAACACTATAATAAACGATACATTTTATATAGGCAAGATACTCGAAAGAATTCCACAAGATATTGTGACAAATAATAAAAGAAAACCATCAGGTTTCGTTCTCTAATTTTCGAATAATAGCAACCTTAACTAATTTTCTCATTTCCAATTTATTGGTAGATGTTGCACTTAAATGGTCTTCCTAGATCTGTAACCAATATTTCCCAAAGACCTATAATCTCTCAGAAGTGGCAACAGATTAACATTTATTATTGGTTTTTGACTGAAACGCATCTATATGAGATACAGTCATTTGACTATATTCTTCAACGAAATCAGCGTTAACGAAAAAGTCAGAAGTGCATCTTTCCTGTGTTTGTGAATTCTCCAAAAAGTCACTGGAATGGACATTTTCGTATTTTGTCTACAAAAGTTGGCAAACTCCTTCTCACATTGAATATTTTTGGATGGCCATCCAAAACTGCTTGGCTTGTGCAATGTCCCGTAATCCCCATTCAAATGTGCGTGAGGATCGGGCGATAATTACGACTTGCTGACAATTTTGCAGTTTTTTTGGTCCATTTCAACCCGTAAATATATGGCGATCATCTCCAAAAAGAATAGGCTTCTATTCTGACCCTCATCTTATCCCCATGCAAAATTTCGTAAGGATCGGGCCATAAATGCGATCTGTATATGATATTCTGATATCCTAACTACTTAGTTTTGTTAGCTGTAGAAATATTACCAAATGTTTAATTCAAAATGAAAATATGCCAAAAATATGACAAAATGGAAAAAATATGAGAAAATCAATATTTTCATCTTTAGAGAGATATTTCTATGCATTTTTTAGACGTTTTTCCTTTCCTGCCAAGAGGCCATTCTGAATTAATGAGAACTGTCGAAATCAGTTCAGCCGTTCTCGACATATATGAGATCTTTCAAGCATATCTTCTTTGATAGACATATATATCGCATATATTTGCTATATATTCGATTTTTTGAATCTTAACGTCAATGTAAAGATCAGAAGTAACCTTGTCTTGGCTTTGTGATTTCCCCGGGATATAAAATATTCGCAGTTTAATGAAAATTTTTGAATTTTTTCAACACAAAAGGTATGGTCTATTTTACCCGCTAAATATTATCCGATGACCACCCAAATTGGTAGGCTTCTTCCCCGCCCTAAACTCTAGCTACATGCGAAATTCCGCGTCGATTGGTCTATAATTGCGACCTGTATAGCTACTGCAAAATCCGACATTTTTCCAGTATTTGGTCCATTTCAACCCCTAAACATTTGGCGATCATCTCCAAAAGAAATAGGGTTCTATTCTGACCCTAGCCTCACCTCCATTCTAAATTTCGTGAAGATCGGGCCATAATTGCGACCTGTAGAGTGATTACAAATTAACATGGACAGACGGACAGACGGACAGACGGACGGACGGACATACATAGCTAGATCGACTCAGCTCGGCGAGATAGGAAGATCCATATATACTTTCCTATGTGGGAAATCAATATTTCGTGGTGTTACATAATTTTTGGCCCAATCAAACTTATAATACCCCCAACACATAGTGTTGTAGGGTATAAAAATAAAACAAATGGAAAAATTATGCCATTTGACTTTGTTGCTGTTTTTTATTTCACCCTGTGTAACTTATTACTTTTGAGACTTTCTGCCAAAAATGATATTTGATGTAACTTTTGTGCATCAGAAAAAAAAAACATTTATTTTTTTGTGACTTAGACTGAAATTTGATGAAGAAAATTTTTGTCTGCTCCGAAAATGTTACAATGAGATATAGGAGATATTTGCATTAGCATACACGAAGTATGGCTTTGATCCTTAAGTGTGTTTTTAATATATCTATGAATTCCTTTCGTTGAGGTAATATTTAGAGATTCGATGTATTCTGCAACCTATAGTAGAATTTTACGGCAATTAATTTTTGTCTTTGTATTATATTGTCTGAAATGAGTTTTTAACCAAAAATATCCCTTTACTGACCCGCTGAAGGGTTAAAATTGTTGAACCCTCGTATTTTGGTCAGTTATATTGCCGACGATACAAAAAAACCTAAAATAAAAGTAATCTCAAGGAATCCAATTTGAAAATTTAAAAAATTATGGAAAAGGGGGTATTTCTCGCCTCTATTGTCGTTACTTTGCGATGATGGCACTCAAACCATCGATAAACTTGACTTCTATTTTTAGCTCTTTTTTCATATCCTGTTGGATTTTTTTTCTGAATTAGAAGAATAAAGTTTGTACAATATTTTATAATTCATTTATTCAATATTTTATTCTTTGATTCTATTAACACCTATACTCTGAGTCTACCCCTATCAATTGCTGGTTATTCAAAGATTTGGATATTACAATCGAAACGGCAATGGGTGTCAAAGTCAATCCCCAAGAACATCCCGAATTTGCCTATGTCAAGACGGTAACTGAGTAAGTTTTGAAGATTAATGTCTAAATTGCTAGAAATGGGTGGGGGGGAGAGAAAATTAGGTACATTTTGATAAGGGTGTCGTCGGTGATTTTATCGCCCCCCAAAACTATGGCAATAAGTGTTTATTTTTGAATAATCAATTTGTGTTCATGGCGAATAGTAGCGATGAGGGATTGATTGATATTCGAATTATTTAACACAGGTAGGCATTTACAATTGTTTGCGTAGGTCAATAATCGGCCAGGTGTTAAATTATAGATAAGGAGTAACAATACAATGTCTAAGGGGTGCCTATAAATATATGTCACAACATTATCGGAAGCTGAAGACACGAGTTGTTCTTAATATTAAATAATATTGTGGAACACAAAAAATAATTACAGGAAAAAATATAAGATTTTGAAAGTAGACCCTAAACAGAAGATATGGGTGTTTTGAAAGTTTACGTAGCAAAGTAATTTAAATAATATACCTCTCTTTGAAATTTTTATATCCTCAGCCATATGGTTACATAGGGTATGTATCATTTGATAGGGCCAACAAAAATTATATTTGATGCAATTTTTATGCATCAAAAAAAAAAACCGTATGTTCGGCTTGGGTGAACTTTGAATACCCTCCACCATTTGGAACGAATTTGGCAATTATCAAAAGCAATAAAATCCTTTAAAAATTCTGTTAAAATCTTAAAAATACCAAATGTAGCTGTTATATTAGGTTCTATAGGACGACATGGACCTGAATAGATTAGCCATTATAATATTCAAATGCGAAACTTAAAAAAAATCGGTGAAAAATATCCCTAAAATCATTAAAATACCGAATATCGGGAGGTACCGTTATATAGGGGCTCTACGAAGACGTGGACCGGCACAGACAATTTTCTGTCTTAGGCTGTAGTATCCATTACGAACTTCAAATGCCATATTTGAAACGATTCCGGTGAAAAATGTCCCTAAAATCATTAAAATACCGAATATCGGGAGGTACCGTTATATAGGGGCTCTACGAAGACGTGGACCTGCATAGACAATTTTCTGTCTTATGCTGTAGTATCCATTACGAACTCCAAATTCCAAATTTGAAACTATTCCGGTAAATAATGTCGCTAAAATCATCAAATTACTGAATATCGGGAGGTACCATAATATGAGGGGCTATACGAAGACGTGGACCTGCACAGACAATTTTTTGTCATAGGCTGTAGTACCTATTACGCATTTCAGATACCAAATTTGAAATATTTCCGGTGAATAATGTCGCCAAAAACATCAAAATACCGAATATCAGGAGGTACCGTTATAGGTTATACGTGGACCTGCACAAAAAATTTTCTGTCATAGGCTGTAGTACCCATTACGCATTTCAAATACCAAATTTGAAACAATTCCGGTCAATAATCTCACTAAAATAATCAAATTACCGAATATGGGGAGGTACCATAATATGGGGGCTATACGAAGACGTGAACCTGCACAAACAGTTTTCTGTCATAGGCTGTAGTACCCATTACGAACTTTAAATACCAAATTTGAAACATTTCCGGTGAATAATGTCGCTTAAATCAGCAAAATACCGAATATCGGGAGGTACAATTAGATGGCGTAGACCTACATGACCCATTTTCAATACCAAAAGTCCTGCAGACATAATACACATTTGAGAAAAATGTTATCAGACTACTTCATTTCGTTCGAAAGCTAGAGTGATTTCTACAGACGGGCAGACGGGTAGTCGGACATTGGCAAATCGACATAGAATTTTATGCTGATATGTTTCGAGGTGTTACAAACGGAATGACAAACTTCATATACCCTCCATACTATGGTGGAGGGCATACAAAAATTACCTTCTCTAATGTTTTGCTATCAGTTTAGTGTCTCGCAACATACCTATGGTCAGCTTATTAAAATAAAACTTTGTATCAAAACGTGTATAAGAGATTGTTGACCAAAAAAAGAGAGAGAGAGAGAGAGAGCGCGCGCGCTCGATCCACTGTGAGATAAGATAAGGCTAACATTAAAAATATAGTTAATAATTTTGTTGACATTCATCACGATTGCCAAAATCCAAATTTAGTTGTGGCGGTACTTTCGAGGTGTTAACATACGGCGGAACTCAAATAATAAATATTTTTCAAAAATGTTAATGGAAATTCTGGTGGGTCTATTGACCTTTCTTCTAATTGCGGATACTTTATTCAAACGCCGGCGGAATAAAATGATTGAAAATGCCGGTATTCGTGGACCAACCCCTTTGCCCCTACTTGGCAATCTGTTGGAATTGGTGGGCAATGATACGGCCAGTAAGAAAGAAAGAAAAAAAAAATAAGCTCTAACTTCCAATCCGAATGATGTGAATTTTCCCCTAACCTAACAGGTGTCTTCAATTTAATGGAAAATTTGACCTCCAAATACGGCAAAGTTGTACGCATGTGGCTGGGTGGCCAATGTGTTCTGATGATTCGTGATGCCAAATATTTGGAAGATATTTTCAAATCCCAACAGCTGATTGCTAAGAATGACTTATATAGCCTACTTGACGGTTGGTTGGGACAGGGTCTGTTGCTGAGCACTGGGCCTAAATGGTTTTCACGTCGCAAGATCATCACTCCCACCTTCCATTTTAAAATTCTAGAAGAATTCGTAGAGGTATTCGATCAACAGAGCCATGTTATGGTCAAGAATTTGATGAAACAAGCCGATGGCAAAACTGTGGTCCGCATGTTCCCGAAAGTTTGCCTCATGGCTTTGGATATTATAACCGAAACGGCAATGGGTGTTAAAGTTAATGCCCAAGAACATCCCGAATTTGCCTATGCCAAGGCGGTAACTGAGTAAGTTTTGAAGATTAAAGTCTAAATTGCTAGAAATTAATGGAGGGGAGAGAAAATTAGGTACATTTTGATAAGGGTATCGTCGGCGATTTTATCGCCCCAAATCTATGGCAATAAGTGTTTATTTTTGAATAATCAATTTGTATTTATGGCGAATAGTAGCGATGAGGGACTGATTGATATTCGAATTATTTAACATAGGTAGGCATTTACAATTGTTTGCATAGGTCAATAATCGGCCAGGTGTTGAATGAAAGATAAGGGGTACAAATACAATGTCTAAGGGGTGCCTATAAATATATTTCACAACATAATCGAAATTTGAAGGCACGAGTTGTTTTTAATATTAACTAATAATGAGGAACACAAAAAATAATAATAATAGGAAAAAAAATTAAGATTTTGAAATTTTATGCCCTCAGCCATATGGCCATAATGGCTACATATCATTTGATATGGCCAACACGTGCCTTATCGAAATAACGGTTTTGGATGCTAGCTCTCTTTGGACGAAATCCGTTGCTAAGAGCGCTCGATTACTCTCTCGGAGGTAGTATCCGATATGGCCCAAACTTGGAACATCGCAATGTTATTCTCAAACTTAGATCGCGCTCGGGGATAGACCATAACGGTCAACTTCTTTTATGGTACTTCCCCGCATTTTTTAAAGAAAATATTTTAAAGCAAAGGAAGTGAAAGGATAATCCGACTTTGCAAATTCCAATATTTTTGTCAGTGCTAAAACGGACAATATCGGCCCACTCCATTAAGGACTTCCCCCACAAAGGGTCAAATTTTTGATTAATCATAACTCTTATAAAATGTGATATAAGAGTCCGATTCTTTTCATATTTCACACATTCCAATATCTCTACTAACACAATATCTGCTGTGAAGATGGGATATATCGGTCCACTCCTTCTGGTACCTCCCCCACAAAGGGTGGGGGAAATTAACGCGAAATTAATAGCGGAATCCATTCAGATTTGACACATCTCATTATTTCTATCAACACAGCATTTTTTATAAAAATGGTAGAGATCGGACAACTCTTTTTGGTACCTCCCCCACAAAGGGTCAAAGTTGAAATATCAATGAAGCTCATAAAACGCGAAATTAATATCCGATACCACTCAGGCTTGGTACATTTTAATATTTCTATCAACATAGGATGTGTTATATAAATGGTAGAGATCGGATCATTCCTTCTGGTACCTCCCCCTCAAAGGGTCAAAGTTTTGAATTACAATAAGTAAAAAAGTTTTAATTTCGGCCGGGCCGAACTTTGAATACCCTCCACCATTTGGTAGAAATTTAGCAATATTCAAAAAAAAAATATATATATAAATAAATATATAAAAATGAAATAAAATAAAAGCCGTTAAAAATCTGTTGAAATCTTAAAAATACCGAATGTAGCCGTATATTAGGGTCTATACGACGACTTTTGTCACAAGCTATTACAATATTCAAATGCGAAACTTGAAAAAAATCTGTTTACAATGTAGCTAAAATCATCAAAATACCGAATACAGGGCGGTACCATGGGGGTTATAAAACGTGGACCTGCACAGACAATTTTCTGTCATAGGCTGTGGTATTCATTATGAAATTCAAATACCAAATTTGAAGTAGTTCCGATAAATAATGTCGCTAAAATCATCAAAATACCGAATATCGGGGGATACCATTATATGGGGGCTATACGAAGACGTGGTCCTGCACAGACAATTTTCTGTCTTATGCTGTAGTACCCATTACGAACTTCAAATGCCAAATTTGAAACAATTCCGGTGAACAATGTACCTAAAATCATCAAAATACCGAATATCGGGAGGTACCGTTATATGGGAGCTATACGAAGACGTGGACTTACATGGCTCACTTTCTGTCTTAAGATGTAGAATTTTTTACGAACTTCAAGTACCAAATTTGAAACAATTCCGGTAAATAATGTCGCCAAAATCATCAAAATATCGAATATCGGAAGTACCGTTATATGGGGGCTATACGAAGACGTTAACCTACACAGCCCATTTTCTGTTTTATGCTGTAGTATCTATTACGAACTTCAAGTACCAAATTTGAAACAATTCCGGTAAATAATGTCGCTAAAATCATAAAAATACTGAAGTACCGTTATATGGGGGCTATACGAAGACGTTAACCTACACAGCCCATTTTCTGTTTTATGCTGTAGTATCTATTACGAACTTCAAGTACCAAATTTGAAACAATTCCGGTAAATAATGTCGCTAAAATCATAAAAATACTGAATCCTCCTGATATTCAGTATTTTTATGATTTTAGCGTTATAGGGTGGCTAAACGAAGACGTGGTCCTGCACAGACAATTTTCTGTCATAGGCTGTGGTATTCATTATGAAATTCAAATACCAAATTTGAAGTAGTTCCGATAAATAATGTCGCTAAAATCATCAAAATACCGAATATCGGGGGATACCATTATATGGGGGCTATACGAAGACGTTAACCTACACAGCCCATTTTCTGTTTTATGCTGTAGTATCTATTACGAACTTCAAGTACCAAATTTGAAACAATTCCGGTAAATAATGTCGCTAAAATCATAAAAATACTGAAGTACCGTTATATGGGGGCTATACGAAGACGTTAACCTACACAGCCCATTTTCTGTTTTATGCTGTAGTATCTATTACGAACTTCAAGTACCAAATTTGAAACAATTCCGGTAAATAATGTCGCTAAAATCATAAAAATACTGAATCCTCCTGATATTCAGTATTTTTATGATTTTAGCGTTATAGGGTGGCTAAACGAAGACGTGGTCCTGCACAGACAATTTCCTGTCTTAGGGAGTAGTAGCCATTTTGAACTTTAAATACGAAATTTGAAGCAATTCCGGTGAATAATGTCACTAAAATCATTAAAATACCGAATATCGGGAGGTACTGTTATGTGAAAACGTTATGTTATGTAACCCATTTACGAGCTTAACCCACCTACTGGTGAAATAAACATGTGTACACAATTTTAGCCTTCTATCTCAATTCGTTGGAAAGATAGCGTGATTACAACAGACAGACGGACGGGCATCGGTAAATCAACATAGAATTTTACGCTGATCAAGAATATATATATTTTGTTGGGTCTGACATGAGTATTCCAAGAAGTTACAAACGGAATGACAAAGTTAATATGTAATAATAATGGAGGGTATAAAAACGATTATAAAATTCGAAATTGGAATCCGGTTCTCATCATATTTCACACATCCAATTATCTCTCCTAACACAAGGTCTGATGTGAATAGGAAATAAATAAATGTCGAAGCTCATAAATCGCGAAATTAATATCTGATTCCATTCAGACATGTTACATCTCAATATTTATATCAACACAAGATCTTATATAAAGATGGTGGAGATCGGACCAAAAAGGGCCAAAAATTAAATATCCACGAAGCTCATAAAACGTGAAGTTAACATCCGATTCTATTTAGACTTGACATATCTCAATATTTCGATCAATACAAGATCTGTTATAAAGATAGTGGAGATCGGAGAATTCCTTCTAGTACCTTCCCCACATAGGGTTCAAGGTTTTGAAAAACAAAATGCTTAAGGAAACCGAAATAAGCATCCAGTTCTCTTCAAGTTTCACACATAAAAACATTTTTGGTAACACAAGATCTGTTGTGGAGATGATATATATCTGCGAATCCCCTTCTGGTACCTCACCCACAAAGGATCACAATTTCCAATACTTATACCTGTCACAACTTGCGAAACAAGTCAGCTATTCTTTACAACTTGCTATATCCAAATATATGTCTCAACCAGAAATATGAGATGAATATGGAATTTCTGATTTCGCATAAAATTGGATATAAATGTTCGAAGCGAAAATCGAGTGCTTCGGTCGAATATAAAAATTATCACGTATCTCGTATAAAGTGAAGGAAAAAACCAATATGGTCCAAAGCTGACACGTCGCAATATTTATTCAGGGCCGACACTAAATGGACAATATTGGCCCATTCCTTGGAACCTACTCCATAGAGGGTCAATAATTTGAATAATCATAAGTCAAAATATAAGTAAATAACCGAATATTGACTGAGGGTTTACATCTGTCGGCAAAACCGACTGATACCTTTTTAACCTGATTTTTTATGTTTCCTAATCTTCTTTAATTTTTGCCTGTATTTGATCTTTGTTTTACGAAAAAGTTGCGAAAGATGGGTCTGGTTTCAGGACCCAACGTATATTTTTGTACCAATTTCCTAAATAACTTTTAAATGTATAATTTTCATTTCCTCTCTCTCTCCAGTACCTCCAACATCATGTCCGATCGCTTTATGAAACCCTTCGATCGTTTCGATGGCTATTTCCGCATTTTCCACAACCAGAGGTATCGTCATTTACAGAAATGCATTAAAATCATGCACGAATTCACCGACAAAGTTATTGCCGAACGTCGTGATGCTCTACAAAAATCCATTGACAATGGAACCTATGAGGCTGGCAGTAGCGTGGATGAAATGGGCATTAAGAAACGTATGGCTTTCCTTGATGTGCTGCTGCAGTCCACGGTGGGCGGAAAACCATTGACGAATATGGATATTCGTGAAGAGGTTGATACGTTTATGTTTGAGGGACATGACACAACGACAAGTGGTATTTGCTTTACACTCTATCTGCTATCGCGTCATCCTGAGGTGCAACAGAAGGTACTCGAGGAGATTCACAGTGTTATTGGTGAGGATAAGGAGAAACCGGTGAGCATGAAGGATCTGCAAGATCTCAAGTATTTGGATTGTGTGATCAAGGAAAGTTTGCGTTTGTATCCACCAGTACCAATGATTGGACGTGTTACCGAACAGGATATTGTGATAAGTATGTATTTCTAGGAAAAAAATATAAAAACATCTATTTATTCCATTTCGTTTCATTGCAGATGGTGTCACCATTCCGGCCAAGACCAACATCACCCTACTCATGTATGCCGCCATGAAGGATCCCGACTACTTCCCCAGGCCGGAGGAATTTTTGCCTGAACGCTTTATGGACACCGAGGAAGCCAACAAAATTAATCCCTTCGCCTATGTCCCCTTCAGTGCGGGACCCCGCAACTGCATTGGCCAGAAATTTGCCACCGCCGAAATGAAGAGTACCATCAGTAAAATGGTACGCCATTTCGAATTGCTACCCCTTGGCGAGGATGCGAAACCTGTCATGAATATTGTATTACGTTCCGAGACTGATGTCCAATTGGGTCTGCGACCCCGCAAGTAGTAGGGAGGTGTTTTGTAAAAAGTGTATGTTGTTGTTTTTGTTTTTGTTAATTTTATATTTTGTAAGGTAATAAACTAATTGTGATGTAGTTAAAATAATTATTTTAAATTGCAAATATACATGGGAGAACAATTGAGTTCAATTTTGGAGGGATTTTAAGCCACCCAAAATTTGAAGTTTTCGAAAGGACTTAAGTGAAGTTTACCCACTTCTATTAGAATCGATCATTGTGGCAACTCATCGTGGATTAACTTCTGATGCTGGGAAATGTGAACTGACAAATTTCTCATAAAATGTCCAAAAAAGTCCTTCCAAAAGTCTTAAATCTGAGGAGGACCTTTTCATGAAAGATCGGCATAGGGTATTTTACTTATTGAGAAACTATGTAGGGTTTCCTGTGCATGGAAGACATGGGAGGAGTCATGAAACCTTAGCATACCTGTCAAAGGCCCTCTTTCCATAGAAGTTCTGTCAAATTGATCATCTGTAGAGTCTTATATCCTTAGCAGACCTGGGTAAGGTCCTTTATTCATGGAAGTCCTGTGTTGGGTATTTTACCTATAGAAGTCCTCACAAGGATTCCCTGTCCATAGAAGACCAGTGTATGATATTTTGTCCATAAAAGACCTATGTAAGATCTTCCATATCTAGAAGACCCCTTAAAGATCCTCTAACTATAGCAAGGATCTTCTGTCCATAGAAGACCTCCCAAAGTTCATTACGTCATATGAGACGTGTGTGTGGGTCTTCTATTCACAGTAGAACTGTGTGGAGTCTTCTGGCCATATAAGATCTCTCAAGGATCTTCTGTTCATAGAAGACCTCTTAGAGATCATCTGTCCAAAGATCCCTCAAAGATCTTAAGTTTCTAGAAGACCCCTCTAGTATCTTCTCTCCATAGAAGATCTCTTAAGTATCTTCAGTTCCTTGAAGATCTCTCAGGGATATTAAGTCATTAGAAGGCTTGTGTAGGGTCTTTTAAACATAGCACACTTCTCAAGGATATCTTTTTTTACTTCATACACGATACCTGAAGGATCTTCGGTTCATAGCAGACCCATCAAGGATCTTCAGTCCATATCAAACCTATGTAGGAATTTTCTTCCTAAGAAGATCTTTCACGGATCTTCAGTCCATAGAAGGTCTCTCTCTTCTGTTGATAGAAGATCTCTCAAGGATCTTCAGTTCCTAGAAGACCTCACAAAGATCTTCACACATTAGAAGAGATGTGTAGGCTCTATAGAAGACCTCTCACGGATCTTCACTTCATAAAAGACCCCACAAGTATCTTCAGTCCATAGCAGACCAGTGTCGAATCTTTTATCCATAGAAGACTTCTCTCTTCAGTCCATAGAAGATCTCTCAAGGACCTTCAATTCCTAGAGGACCTCTCAAGGATCTTCAGTTCCTAGAAGATCTCTCAAATATTTTCACTCATTAGAAAACATGTTTGAGTTCCATAGAAAACCTCTCACGGATCTTCACTTCATAGAAGACCCCTCAAGTATCTTCAGTCCATAGCGGGCTTGTGACGTGTCTCTCACATCTGTCCGTAGAGGATCTTTTAAAAATCTGCAGAAGCCCTCTCAATGATCTTCACTCATTAGAAGACCTGTGTAGACTCTTTTATCCATAGAAGACCACTCACAGATCTATACTTCATAGAAGACCTCTCACGGATCTTTACTTCATAGAAAACCTCTCAAGTATCCTCAGTCCATAGCAGTCCTGTATAGAGTATTTTTCCATAAAAGGCCTCTCAAAGATATTATGTCCATAGAAGATCTCTCAAGGATCTTCACTTCACAGAAGACCTCTCAAACATCTTCCGTCATTAGAAAACCTGTGTAAGATTCCTAATCCCTAGGATACCTCAAGGATCTTCTGCCCATAGAAGACCTCTTAAGGATCGTCAGTTCTTAGAAGACCTACTCAAGCATCTGAAGACTATAGACCTGTTACAAAACCTGTGTAGCGTCTTTAAACCATAGCACGCCTCTCAAGGATGTCCTGTCCATAAGAGACCTCTCAAGGATCTTCAGTCCATAGCAGATCTGTGTAGGGTCTTATATCCATAGAAGACCTTTTATGGATCTTCAGTTCATAAAAGACCCCTCAAAGATCTTCGCTCCATATCAGACCTCAGTTGGATTTTCATCCATAGAGAACCTCTCCCGGATCTTCAGGCATCAGAAGATCTCTGTAGGGTTTTTATCCATATAAGACCTTTAAAAGATATTTTGTCTATAGAGGACATTTCAAGGATCTTCAGTCCATAGCAGATCTGTGTAGGGCTGTCTTTTCATAGAAGACTTCTCAAGAATCTTCAGTCAAGACCTGAGTAGGATCTTTTATCCATAGCAGAATTGTCAAGGGTCCAAATCTATTGAATACCTACCAAGCGTATTCTTTCCATAGAAAACCTGTATGAGATCTTCAGTCCATAAAAAAGGATAAAGATCTATAAGGGGTATTTTAACAATAGAAGATCTGTGTAGGGTCTTATATCCATAGAAAACTTCTTCCACCTGACTCTCAAAAATCCAGAAATGTTTATTAAAATAGAATAAGACATATATTTACATATGTATGTACATATGTATATTCCGACAATATGACAAATAAACACATTTCCCAATTTTCTCCTCCACCAGAAAAGATGAAAATTGCAAGGCGTTCTCTTTTAAAGCAGCAGCCCAAAAAAGATAGCGTCATAGGGAGGAAGGAAATGATTTGACTATTCCGTGAGCTCACGTGACTGACACGTGAGTTGGAAAAATTCAAACAAAAACTTCTCAACGCATAAATACGACAAATGTCTACGATGTAAAATATTTACAATATGCCAACATGCCGTCAACGTGCAGTTTTATGCAAAGACATAAAATCCCGAAGATGGGCGGAATTTAAAAAAATATTTTCTTAACAAATTACAAGAGGAACTCCTTTTGTGAGAAAATCCAGCTGTTGCCAGGATTAACGCCTCAAATTTCCACAACCATTTCAATGTGAAAGACAACACACGGCGTATGCAAACATATGGCGGGAGAGAGGGAGAGAGAGAGAGCGAGTGTCGGTGTATATGTGTTTGTACGCAGACATAAAAGCAATTACAGCATCCTTTTGAAGCCGATCAAATATAAAATCCCTTATATCTACCTGAGATAATTCACCTTTCAAATTTCACGAATTCAAATATTATTTTCAAAAGGGATATTAAAAGGAAAATCTTATTGAGTAAAACCTTCTCCTTTTGGTTTTGAACATTTGTACTGGGTTTATTTTCCAACATATTTCACCTGTCTAATAATTAGCCGCACCAATTTAGGGGTGTAACGTTTTATCAATGCTGGTAAATTTTGAAATGAAAGGATAAAGAACGACATCATGCTGAGTTGCTTTTTTTTCTAAAGGTGGTTTTCTATTTTTCTTTTGTCTGCCTTGGAATATGATTTTATTGTCCTATCTCTTCTATCTTAGCCTCATTTAGATTATGAATCACCATTACCATTGAAATGGCCAACCAACTTTGTTTACTTTCTTGATTGCAACAACCCCGCCAAGGATTACAAATCTCAATCACATTTCCATCTGTTGCCGGCTATGCAATGTCCTTCGCTCTCACTCTCTTCTTTCGGATTTCTGATTCCATCTGATTCCATTTTTTTTTTTGCCATGGTTGTGATGATAATAATTTCCATTCTTAATTTAAGGAAACCATCTTGAGGCAAATTGTGGCACCTTCTTGTTCATGGATGGGACTTTCTTGTTCAATGGAGTAGTAAAATATGGGAGACTTCCATATTGAGGTTTCATGGATACTACCAGCAAAAAATTTTACAGAAAAACAAGTAAAAATCTGTAAGTTCGGCCGGACTGAACTTTCAATATCCTCTACCATTTGGAACATTTTTGGCAATTCTCAAAAACAACTAAATACGTTAAAAATTCTGTTAAAATCTTAAAAATACCGAATGTAGCTGTCATATTAGGCATAGGTAACATTTGTCATAAGCCATTAAAACATTCAAATAATAATATAGACGAAATCATAAAAATAGCGAATATCGGGAGGTACCATTATATGGGGGCTCTACGAAGACGTGGACCTGCACATAATATTTTCTGCCTTAGGCTGTAGTATCCATTACGAACTTCAAATGCCAAATTTGAAACAATTCCGGTGAAAAATGTCGCTAAAATCATTAGTCATTCATCATTAGTGTACCGAATATCGAGAGATACCGTTATATGGGGGCTCTACGAAGACGTGGACCTGCTCAGACAATTTTCTGTCTTAGGCTGTAGTTCCCATTACTAACTTCAAATGCTAAATTTGAAACAATTCCGTTAAAGAATGTCGCTAAAATCATCAAAATACCGAATATTGGGAGGTACCGTTTTATGGGGGCTATACCAAAACGTGGACCTACACAGCCCATTTTCAATACCAAAAGTCCTGCTGGCATAACATACATTTGAGTGAAATTTTATTAATCTACTTCAATTCGTTCGGAAGCTAGAGTGATTTCCACAGACGGACAGACGGATAGACGGACGGAATTCGCTGCATCGACATAGAATTTTATGCTGATCAAGAATATATATATACTTTGTGGGGTCTAAAATGTGTATTTCGAGGTGTTACAAACGGGATGACAAACTTAATATACCCTTCATACTATGATGGAGACCTGTCCGTCCGTCTATCCGTCTGTCCATCTGTTGTAATCACGCTACAGTCAAAACGAATTAAAATAGTTAGCTAAAATTTTGCACAGATCTCTCTTTTGCCTGCAGGCAGGTCAATTTCGACGATGGGCTATATCGGTCCACCATATCGTATATCCCCCATGTAACGGTACCTCCCAATATTCGGTGTTTTGATAATTTTAGCTGCATTTTTCAATGGAATTGTCTGAAATTTGACACGAGGAGTTCCTTGTTAGTACTTTATCCCTTGGAAGAGAATTATCTACATAGGTCAACGATATCGTATAGCCCCCATATAACGGTACACCCCGATATTCGGTATTTTCATGATTTACGCCACATTTTTCAACGGAATTGTCTGAAAATCCACACAAAGAGTTCCTTCTGAGTACTTTATCCCTTGGAAAA